AAGGCAACTTGATCGATTTTTGTAATCGTCCTTTCATTTGCACCCATCACGCACATCGACGCACCTGGCTGGACCGCAGGACCACAGGACCTCCCATCCTACATTCCGCAGCCCCTATCCCTATACCGATCCCGATTCCTTATCCTATCCACCTGGCCTTGTCCAGTCAAGCGGTCCATTGTCCCCGCAGTGACTGTCATGAAGTCCAACAAAGCGGAAGCTGTAGGAATTTACCAACGTTTAAACTTTAATGCCTACTACAACAGTTTTTATTCCTTTCTCCTTTTCTCTTTTTCAGTCCTTGTTGCATGTGTGTGGGCTTGAGATTTTTTTTACAACCAGGATGTCTCTCTTTTTCCGCCCCTTTACGCTTACACACCCCTTTATCCCTCTGCCCGCTCCAATTGAACCTAATCCGGCTGCTAAAGTATTAGCTACGTAGTTGTATGCTCATCCCGGCTGTCCAAACTGCCTTATGCTGCTTTTGTTGTTTGCTGGCATTTAGCAGAGAAAAAAACAAAAACAAAGGAACCCAGAAAGACAGGGAAATGCAAGACGGGGAAAGCGGAAAATCAGGCGGACAGGAGTGTCGTTTGTAAAAAACTTTACCCTCTGTCCAAAGGGGACTGCAAGAAGTGGAACTGCAGCGTCCACTTAATAACAAGGCATCAGCCGCTGGACGTCACTTGGCATACTAATCCTTGGCCCACTTGCGCCTCCCACTTAGTTAAGTGACCAGCCTCGAGGGAATTTCCCACTCCTCCTTATACGGTATGCCATATATTGTATTCTATATGCTGTCACACGGTGGAAAAAACAGTGCCATATATGTATGTTCCATATGAATGGTCTCTTTTCTTTATATGTTATTGGATACTATTTAGTGTCAAGAATATGTATTTTCATATGATATTAAAGACACTTCGAGATTGCATTTATCTCTACATGCTTTTTCTTAAAAAATATATGATACCATGTACTTATCATTACACTCACTAGAAAACTTATTAATTTAAAGCATATTATTTATTATTCGTCTTAACATTTTGAAAACTTCTTGAGATTGCCATATATTTAACTTGCTACTTAAAAAGGACAACTTTCAAGCTCCCAATCCAACTAAATATCAAACGAAGTGCTATTTTATCCTAGTGCAGCCTTTGGGGATTCTTTAAAACGAGCTGCACTCGGGCACCCTTTTTGCAGCCAGACAAAGTCGCTGCCAAAGTGGACAGCGAATGGACAGCAGGGCAAAGACATTAATGACAGCCAACATCAATGAGTGTCGGGTGGCGGTGAAAAATTAATACAAAAAGACGGTGACAAGCGAGGAAAACAAAGGGTTCTCCATCGCAATCGCCTCCAAAGTGGCAGGTGATGCTCGCCTGGCTTGACTCGGCGTCAAACATGGCGTATGATTGATTTTCCAGTCGTAAACTATGGCTGAGCCAAAGAAGCAAAGAGGGGCATGGCCAGATAAAGCGGCAAATAAGCTTCAATAATAATAAAAGTTATAAATCTTTTGCATTGGTCTGCGGAGGACAAGGCAAAGTCCTTCCAAAAGGACGACGACGACATGCTGCAACGCGGCGATAATAACAATTTATTGCACACACACGCGAGAGAGGAAAAATGCCGCGAGACACGATTGCAACAACAAATGGACAACAACGGGGACAAAAAGCGAGCATAAAAACCGCACAATAATAAAAATGAACAATGACAGGTTAATAGCAAATAAATGAAAGCCCATAAGAAAGGAGCAGAGGAAAGCAACCAGAGGAGAGACCCAGCCAGACAAAGGACATGCCTCCGGTCTGGCCGACAGACTATCCCCTTGGCCTAGGCCAATTGATATATAGTTTTCAATTTCAAAAACCATTGGGCGAGGCGTTCTGGCAGAAAAAGTGCCCAAGATAGAAGGCATATTTTCAGCATACTATACTATAATAACTGCTGGTGCAGGAAGACCAGGATAATGGCGGCAAACGTACTTAACGGCCACGAAATAATGACGATAATGGGCGATGAGTTAGCGGCGGGCGAGCAGGTTGACAAAATGCACTCGGCATGCAATGCACACTGCCTGCCAATAATAATCGTCATCACCATCACCATTATCATCATCATTATCGTTATCGCTAGAAAAGAAGCCGTACGGTACGAATCGCTCTTTGTGTCTGCTTATGGAAGCGGAAAATGCATTAACTCAGCAGCAGACGCCGAACTGAATTTATTTTCCACTTTACGGATGCTTTTCCGACTCGACTGTAACTCTGCATTCATTTAGCCTAATTACAGGGCTCTTAATGGCTTCTCTGTAGCGGAATTCAAAGTGTTTTCCAATATATTCAAGGCTTTTAATTATATAACAGTCTATTTTGACTGCGGGTAAACATTTAATATGCTTATTTATTCAATTGCAGAGCTAAAACATTAATATGTAAATTGAGGCAGAGCCGCAAAAAAATGGCGAATTAAAATAATGTAATAATATAATGATGGCAACCAGCTAAATGGGCTTCAAAATCAGCCATAATCTGCCAGCTCTACGCGCTCAATTTTATTTCCTCTAGATATTATAATTTAAACATGCCATATATAATGTATACTACGTTTGATAAGTGTCGCAAGCCGCCTGCAAGCGGATTAAATTTCAACCAGACACATTTTATTAAATTTACGTCTCGACTGGGCAAAGTGACAAAGAAAAAAATCGATCACCTGTTTAAAGTTGGCCCAACCAAAAAAAAAAAAAGGGAAGATGGAGAACAACAATGGCGGGGCTACTTGGCAGCTGTGCCAACGCATCAGTCAACGTCCTTAGCGTCGTCCTTAACAAAGGACGACATTTGCCGGTTGCGACACTCCGACAAAAAGGGAGCCACTTTATAAGCCAAATTCAACTGGCAAGCTGGCACAGTGCGCCTTTGTCTGTTTGCTTACTTTACTACAACTTTCCTGCACATTCCTCGCTTTTTGGCAATTTGTTTCTGCATCTTACAACGAATTCAATTGAAAATTTCAGCAGACACTCCACTCGGCAAATTTAAAAACAAATTTGCCGCAAAGCAACGGCAGCAAACTTGGAAAAGAAACTTTTTCTACTACAGTTGTACAGTTCGATTTTCAATTCCCCGTCTCGCAGCAACAAAAAAAAACTAAAAAAAGAAAAAGCTGGTCAAGTGTAGACGTGCGTTTAAATGTTACGTATACGCCGCGTTGTCCGCTGCACTTGACTGAATCGTCTCGTCGTGCACTTTTCACTATAGCTCAAAGAAGAAGCAACCAAAAAAAAAAAAAAAAACGAAGAAACAACAGCAGACAGACAAGGGCCACGCCCCCTTCCCGGTATTTACTTTTCCGCCCACGCCTTCAGTTTGCTTTTCGTACGAGTGTGTTTGTTTGCCTTTCGTTTAGCCAGAATGCCAACTATGACAAAATCGGGGAATCAGAGACTCGAAATCAAAGTCGAATCGAATCGAGTCGATTGACTGAGCCAATGCCAATGTGGAAATTGTCAATAATTTCAAATTGATTTCTATTTGATTTAGCACAGCAACAAAGACAGACAGACATCTTTAGTTCTATAATTGTGAAACGGATAGGTGTTTTCCTTCCGTTATTTTTTTTGTGTTTTTCGTAGAGTCTAAGTGAAAACGTAAACTTTGACAAACACGCGGGCCTCGTTCTATGAGGCCAAACAACATTAGACAGCTATTAGAGGCTTGGCCGACTTTTACGACGAAACCATAAAAAGCATTACTTGAACTGTTCGAGCTGCTCGAGCTGCTCGTAAAACTCGTGAAATTTGTAAGGACCTGCGACTCGGCCTGGGACAAGGAACGCGGACATAGGCGTAGGCTGGCAATAAAAGCCAATCGATAAGTGCCTAAAGTGTTGGAGGTCCTCGTAAACAAATGGAGCGAGTCCACACCTCGATGGGGGAATACTCATCCATCAGGGAATCGTCAAAGGAGTTCCCCAGTCTGGGGCACGAATTTATTAGCTGCCTGCCCCATCATCATATCGATTATGACAATTACACATAGGACGCGCTAATGTTAATGTTGGTATAAGCTCAAGAATTTTCGGGGGGATAAGGTTTTTAGGGAAGGGGCAAATTTAATAACAGTTATTGCTGTGAAATTACGATTGCTAGAAAGTAAATTGTACTGGCATTAACCTTATTTGTATTTCTTCAACCCTCTTATTTTCGTAAATCTTAGTAAGAAAAAAAAGTTTGAATATATACTTCTTGAAATTTTAAGTATTTTTTAAATGTAACAAAAACAAAAGTTTATTTTTGGTATTGCGAACATCTTTAAAAATGAGTAAATTTATTGTCAGCTATGCAAAAGTAGGCAAGAGTTTAAAATATAATTGGTAATGATGTTGGGCTTAGAGCACTTAGAGCATCAATTAAATATAGTTATTGCTTATGTTAAGCCCCCAATAAAACTTACTTAAGTTAAAACATTTGAAATGACTTTAACTTATCTTAATATTTCGTAAAAGATATCTATATTATTCTAATGGCAACATAATATATTACACAGAGTTCAGTAAAATAACTTATGGATTATGAAGTTAATTTTAGAACTTAAATATTTGTCTTATAAACTGAAATTAATATAATATAAATTAACTGACTTAAATGTAACTTAGTATTCTGTATCGAACCTGTCTCTGATTTTTATTACCCTTGATATTATTATTGATATTAATATCACTTAAATATAATAAAGCGATTAATTTAATGGGTAAGATGTCAGTGGATTACCTATTTAAACATTATGTATTTATTATAATCTTGTTTTAATTGTTATTTGTTTTGTATTATTTGCAAGTTTTTAATATGCTTTGTTTCTGTACTTTAGAACCCCATTTTGAAAGCGTAGTTTAAAACCGAATTTGGATCTTCGGGTTCTTTGATGTTGAGGGTATTTAGAACATTCCCAGAAGTATGCTATATATAGTTGTCTGATTCTTTGGCTTACCCTGCTTGGGCGAGATGCAGAGCACCTGCTGCTGCGGCGACTGCTGCTGCGAGTGGATCTGGTACTGCTGCTGCTGCTGCTGCTGCACCACCACCGCTTGTTGTTGGGCGGCACAGACGGCGGCGGCCACCGCCTGCTGCTGCTGGTGGTGAGCTGCTGCGGCTGCAGCGGCGGCTGCTGCGGCGGCCTGTTGCTGCGACTGCTGCTGATGCTGATGCTGATGCGGCGACTGCGACTGCGGATGCTGCTGCTGCTGCGTGGTGACAATGGTCATCTGCTGCTGCTGCTGCTGCTTGCCATTGCCGGCCTGCTGCGGCACCTGCTGCTGCGGCTGCTGCTGCTGCTGCGGGGGGCGGGGGCCTGTTGCTGCTGCTGCTGTTGCTGCTGCAGGTGCGTCTGGTGGATGGCCAGCAGCTTTGTCTCGTAGGGCTTTCCATGGGCGGCGCTGAGCGTCATCTGGGCGGTGGCTGGCATCATCAGCGTGGGCATGGCCAACATTTTACGGCTGGTGATGCAGTGGGGTAATGGTTAAGTGGTGGTGCTGCTGCTGCTACTGTTGCGGTGTGGAATTTGCACGTTTTGCGGTTGCACGCAGCTCGCTTTGATGCTTAATGAAGTGCCTGCCGCCTTGCAGTTGATGATATAAATAAATTTGTGTTATAATTTGGCTAGGTTTTTTGGTTTTTTAATGGCCGCCTTTTGTGTGAAACCGCACTGTTGTTGCTGTTGCTGCTCCTGGTGGTGCTGCTGCTTGTTGTTTGGTCAAACGTTTTGATGCATTAAATAATTTCTACAATTTTGCTAATTTGGAAAATGCTGCCTTTTTTGTGGTTTTCCTTGACGTTTGTTCCGCTTCGTGTTGTTTGTGGTTGGTTTTAGTTTTTAAGCTTTACATACAAAATTTCCTCTTAGCTTCTTGACCATCACTTATCACAGACCAATGAAATTTGTATTCAAAAAGTTCATTTGGTTTTTGAATTATGTTCCCAGGCAGAATCCCTAGCACTCGTGGCAAGTGGATTCCCTTGGTTTTTTTTTTTTGCTTCTAGGGAAATATTAGAACATAATATTTCGGTTTAGGCTGAGCAAAATAGCTACAAAAGCTGAAAATCATAAGCATTAAACAAACAAAACGGGTAATTAAGTTTGCCTCGCTGTTAGTGTGATCAAAGTCCTTCGAACCATAAGAAAAGTAAATAAAACTGACTGCTTTTATGGATGCCGCGCGCACAGCCATTATCATATATCAAGACTAAGCCATTCACACATCATTTGAAAAATTAAATTTAATATTTTACGATTTGTGTGTGCTCGCATACGCATACAAAGCGAAACATGAGCCAACAAAAAATAAAAAGTTATGCGCGTAACGCAATGTCTAAGTGCCAAAAGCAGAAACAGACAGCTCAGCCAGCTCAGCGCGGCGAAAAAAAATGATAACAATAATAATAAAAGAAGCGGCATACAGCGGAATACAAGTGCCAAAAAAACACGCGCAAGAAACCGAGCTGGGGTTTTACGACGCCAAAAGAAGAGTCCTGAATCCTGAGTCCTGAGTCCTGACACCCTGTACGCCCCAAGTGTTGGCAAGTGTCAGGATCAGACGCTTCCGGTTTTTATATCTCGCCCATGGACAGACAAATGCTATGTATAAATATAAATATAAACTTATATTTTTATGTTTATTTCGAGAGCCCAGGACACACGGAAGCACTCGCGGCTAAGAAAAAAAATGGAAAAAAAAAAACATTAAAAACCAGGACGAGTGCAGAGGCCACACCAAAAATACAAAATACATACGGCACACACAGCATTCTCAGGGTGTGTGTGCCTTCTGCCGGAGAATGAGAACGAGAGTATGAATCACACACAGCTGCAGTGTCCTTTTTATATAGGAACCCAGTCGGCAGCATTTATTGGCTGCTCGTTGTCGGTTTATGTGGCCCACAAGCCGAAGTGCCAGACGCCTGTAGTTGTACATAATGTGGCCAAAAACACAACAGGCACAACAAAATACATGCACGCAAAAAGCGTTGTGGCTGGCTATGTAAATATGGCCAAAATCGATGCTCGTCTATGTGACAATGAAGGCAAGGAACCCAAAACGGGTTAAACGATTCCAAAAACACCGCAAAACGAATTAATTTTGTGAAAAAATGATTTGAAAAGTTTTAAAAACTTTAAAAAGTAAGCTGTACATCACACACATTTCGATCCACACACTTTTCAGTACAACACACTTGGCAAGTTTATGCAACAAAAGATTTTCTTTTTTTTCTTAATCAAACAAAAGCATTTTTTAAAACACTATAATTTATAATGACTAAATGAAGTTGGTTAAAAATAATCAATACATAAAAAAAGAGGTTTTTTAAATTTATTTTTATTTTATGCAAGTTTTTCAAATGTTTTATGTTTGTTAATTTATTTTTATCATCATTCAGTTCTTGTTTAGTTTTTCGTTCGGCTTTCGTTTATTTCACTTCGTCGATTTCTGAATTTCCTTTTTTCATTTGTCGCTTTTTCTTACAATTCGGTTTTTATTTTGAATTCTCTTTAGCGAGCAGTTGGCTTTCGGTTTGCCTTTGGATTGCTTTGGTTGGTTGGTTGGTTTGTTTGAGAAATTATAATAACAACTTAACAACAATGTAACGAATATCCTTTCTTAACGAGGACACAATTCAAACTGAAGGCGAAGCGCCTTCGTCCGCCTCACAAATAGTCAACACATCGTACCGCTCCGGTCGTTAAACCGTTATTCTGCCGGCGTCGCTGCCGCTCCGAAATCCTTTCAGCCTGGCCGACTGACTACCGCTCGTGCTGGCCAAAAGGAAAACTCCCGAGTGCGGGCCCGAAGTTTAGCCAGGAAAATCTCTCTCTCAGGCATGCGCACGAGGAAATTCGAAAAGGTTGTTGTCTTGACTTAAGGATTTTCTTTTTATATATATAATTTGTGGAAAATAAATCCCTACTTTATTCCAAAAAATTATGGCACACTTTAGTGTTATACAAAACAGCTCTGTTAGCATGCCTTATCCCTTCTTAAATTTCTTAACAAGACTTATTCTTACAGGGGCTTACACTAGCGCCTTCTTACTCATTATGCTAAGATGAGAAATTGAGTGTTTTCAAACGCAAACAAACAAAGGCCCAGACACACACAAGCCCACATGCCATTGTTTATGCGCTCGAGAACCAATAATCCACTTTTGTTTTGTTATCACTCTCTAGCCACACACAGAACCACCCAACGAACCACCCACTGAACCACCCGCAGAACTCAACTCGTTGCGGCTGCCTTTGCCCTTGCCCTTGCCCGCCACCACTTAATTTCTACTTGATTTGTCGTTTAAGAAAACTAATTGTCTGCCTTTTGTTGAGCGTGAAAACAATGGGAAACATTTTAGCAACTGTTACTCTGCGCCGAAAGCGTATTAGAGGCAGACCTCCGAAGACGTTGGGCCCCAAAGTCTGGGCAGCATTTTGCGGCCATGTGCAGTGGAAAGTGGCCATGTTGAGTCTGAGTCGCAAATCGCTTTGGTTTTCGGTCAGGCAAAAGGCAAAAAGGAGACCGCTGCGAATTTTTCCAAAGCAGCACTTCAAGGTCACTTCAGACAATGACTACGGGCGGACTTCCTAAGCTCTAAGTTCCCCAAGTCGATTCACAAACTCAAAATATTATATAACCGTTTTTAATAGTATGAACAACATTATAGTTCTTACAAAACTTTAAGCTAAAAAAAAAGTAAAGTTTTGTGGGTAATAATTTAAATTACAAATTATTTAGATATGATCATGTCCTTTCAAATGATAATTTTTCTGGTTTTAAGTCGCTAAAAGCGAATCCATCAAGCTAAATGCTTTCTACGCTCCAATGTGCTTTTTTTTTAATTTGAGTATCCAATAATAATAAAGATTTTGTAGGTAAATATTTCATAAACAAATCAAGGTTCCATATATTTATTTTTCTTCTTATTTTTAGTTGTTTAGAGAGAATCCTATAAATAAAATGGTCTCTTTAAATAAATACTTGTGGGCTTACTTAAAAGTTTACTTTAATTAAAATTACCTTCTCTTAAATTTGCTGAAAGGGCTATATGTTGAGTCCATATATGTTACACTGTAGTTTCGAGATGAGCCGGCAAAGCGACAATCTTCTTTTCTGTATCTCAAAGCGACCTCTCCTGATCGATTTCCCGCAAAGCGGAAACGGATACCATACCCCCACCAAACTCGCGTGGCGGAATAACGAGGCGAACTCTGCGTTGCATATTCATGGGGCAGGCACAAACACCAATACAAACACCAACACAAACACAAACACTCGTTGCAGGACGAAAGGACGTCGATGGTGTAACAGATATCGGTTACGTTGCATGCAACAGCAATCCAAGCCTTCAGGAAATAGAGGGTTAAGCTCGGAGAAAATCAAATCGGAATAAAGCCGGGAAAGGGTTAAGTAGGTTTGAGCAAAAAATGCATTTTAATCAAGGTTTGATGATGGAAATCGATTAACCAGTGAGTCATACTAATTACGTTCCTTTTAGTTTTTTTTGTAAGTAATTTTAATGACCAAGCACACAGTACTTAAAGTTATAGCTTTTTAAATGATTAAACCAGATGTTTCAAGACTGAAAATAAACAAATTTAAAAATACAATTCCAAGTATCAATTTATATTCGCAACAAGTATTATTTTTTAAAAAAAAGTATCATATCTTGACATATTTTTTTCTTAAAAAAAATAGTTAAATAGTTTTAAGAAGTTTGAAAGCAAAGAAAATTACATTTAAAATTAATGAACGTATATAATCTTATAATGACCTTATTTATCAAATAAAAATAGAGAGTTATTTAATATTCCACTACTCTGCGATAAAACTCTGTAATCCTTCTATTGAACACTTGAATAGCATTGACTTATCCCAGGAATTTGTCGTTCCCTGTTGTCTTCATGTAGGCCAGGTTGGCAGAATCTCTAGCTGATGCATTATGCAAATAGAAAAAGCAATAGCAGCAGCAACAGCAATAGCAACATGAACAGCAGCAGCGGAAAGTATAACAGCAACGACGATAGCAACTTGGCGACACATTATCCTGCGACTAAATATGTAAAAACACAAACATCAACTGCACACATACACACACACACACACATCCTGGCGCAGGACTCACGTGAGCGATTAAAATCTGAAGGAAAGTATTTCAGTTTTCCTTTTTTTTTTTTTGTTAGGACTGCAGCCTGCAGCCGAGGGTTGTTGCAAGTGTAGAGGTGCAAATGAGTTCAGTTGGAAGGGCTGTTGCTGCTGCTGCTGGCAGCAGTGCCTGTGGCAGCGCCGTGTAATTGGAGGCGAGTGTCGTGTAAAATGTAAAACTTGCGTCGTAAATAAATCAAAACTTTCTGACTGAGCAAACATTCAGGTGAGCGAAAAAATGCAACAGCAACGGCAACGGCAAAAGCAGAGCCACCGGCAAAATCAGCACCAGCCCAGCAGCAACATTTTCATATTGACAAGTGTGCCGAAGAGGGAAAGCGTGGTGAAAAGGGGCTGGGAAAACTCAAGCAGGGGACAAAAACAAGGCTGCTGTTGCCGGGGTTATTTACACTAAAAATTGGAACAGCTGCAAAGCGAAGCACTTACAGCTGCTGCCGCGGGGTCTTTAAAGAGCGAAAAGGACGATGTGACGGAGGCCAGCTGATGCAGATTTCGCCTTGAACCATCTTAACTAGATTTACATATAGGGCTTTTATTTAGTTACTAGATAATTTCAGAGATACGTATTATTTTGAAATAATTTCAGTATTGTGACTAGCAGCGCACTTTTTTATAACTTTTGTTATTTCTAAGTTAAACTTTAAAGGCTGAAAGAATAAAACTTATCTCCCATCTTAATTTAAAAAAAGTTAGATACTTATTTGTATTAAATATTAAAGTATAAAATTCTAATTAAAGTTAAGAACGTAAGGCAGCACATTATCCAGATTGCATTATTGCCCTCTAAAAGCGATTTAAATAGTTACAAGATAATTTGCAGCAAATATGAGTTTTGTAAATGTAAAAATAAATAAAATTAATTACTTCTTCTTATGTCATTCCAAATTTTGTTAAATATTACAATATTGCATGCTAATTTGTATTCAATATTAATTACTAACTTGACTATCAGTAAAACAACACCGTATTCACCATATTATTAGTTGGCTGGGCGAAAAGAGTTACTCGAATCTTCAACCCATAAATCCCGCAGTATTGATTTATTACATAATATGCTAAACACCAACCACACAAGGCGGAACGCAAAAAGTTTCGCTGTGATTTATATATTCATTATTCTATCATATTTACGGGCGGGACGCACAAATGAAATGTAAATGCTGCCCTGGCAGCGGATTAATAATATGGTTGCACAATACAACGCAACACACAACAACTATATAAAGTGAATTTAAGTTGAGACCAAAAAGTTTTTTGGGCCCGCAATCCTGGCTCAAGGTGGTCAGGCTACGACGAGTCTTTCACATTTGTATAGTCGTCATAAAATGATAAAAATATTAATATAAATAAACAGGAGGCGGGGGAGTTGAGTGGCGGAGATTTCGAGGCCATTTGCCAGTGCTAGCGGCTTTGTTTGCCGCCAGCTCACAGGAAAGTTTTTGATATCATCTTTAGCGAAACATCCGGGGGAACGCGGTAGGAAAAAGGGCAGGCACTTTCGCATAAGTTGACAATTTTTTGTCGCTCTGTCTTGGCTTTCTCCTGTTTTATTTTGCTTTTACTCCTGCTTGTCTATTCGCCTGGCAAAAATATACCTAAATACATATATTTTTGGGCTGGAAACTTTGCCCATTGCCGGGTAGAAGTGGCACCCAGCTGCCTTAGAGCCCGTCCCATAATTGATGGTCAGCGTTTAACTTAATTGTATGTGGGAATCTGAGCTGCCGGTGGCATGGGCATGCTGATTGTGTCAAGATTTCATTTCAATTTGCGCCGCGATAAGGCTGCGCAACATAAAAGTAAATTGAAACGCCTGACAGTGGCTCTGACTGGACCAACGGACCACCGGAGCAGCCGGATAACAGCAAGGATGGCATCCAGGATTGTAGCCAGGATAACAGTCAGGACAGGTGCTTCTGCTCCCGACCATCATTGCTGGCCGTCAGAAGCTCGTCACGCACGTGCAGGTGGAGCAGTTTAAAAAATTTTTAATTGAATTTGCCACTGGACAGGGAAAGGGACCCGTAAACGCTGAAAAAAATTGTGACAATGTTGGTGTTTCAAGGCGGAATCTAGTCTGGCAATCTCACCCCATTTTTTTAGTGTGGGAAAATTTAAAGGCAGAATTCTATTCGTATCAAATTTTTATGTTTAAATACAGTGATGTATACAAGTATTTTAATTTGTTTTCTACATCTACAATATCAATTCTTACAAATGTAATTTAATTGCAATAAATTTAAAAAAACCTTTCAATTTTTGGAATTACCAAAGTCTTTATATTGGTATATTTTCGCTTATTTAATCAATCAATATCAATTTTAAAGGAACTTTGTATAATGTTCTTTTTAGAATTCATATATATTAATATTTAAACGCACATGAAGAAGACCAATTGTTTTTTTTTAAACACTTGAAAAGTTATTAACCATTTCTTTGACAATTAAGTATTTTGTAATTATCTAAATTCAAATATAAACGATTAAACATAGCTTAGTTTTCATTTTATTTTGTTTAAATTAATTTCCCAAAATGCATTATTAATCTTTGCTAGTATTTTCTCGCAGTGCACTCATACTTACTGTGCAATGGCGGCATGTACTCCATTTCCTCGTCGCTGTCCTCCGTGTCCAGTGCGCTTCCTTCGGCCCCAGCTATTGGGCGGGGGGGCGTGACAAAGGAGTTGGTACGCAGCGCCATTTCCATGGCACGCAGAGCGGGCAGGCACCTGGGCAATTTGCCATTCTGCAAGGCAGATAGAGAGTAAGAGATTCGAGCGATGGACCATTAAAATTAGACAATAAATAGATAAAGTTGAAAACAAAAATAAAAATGAAAACACGTGCCAGGTCATTCCAATTTCAAGGGGAGAGCCGTGCCAAGCCAAGTCATGCCAAGCCAGTGCCCTAATTGAGGCATTCAACTTGACAAGACGAACGACTAACCTGAGACTAATGCCCAAGGCCGACAAAAGACCTCTGAAGTGGCGTGCAAATCATGGAAAAGGATTACACGTACTAAAACCAGGAATGGAAACAAATGCCCCCCTGCCTCTCTCATTTCGGTGACTAAAAAGCAACGATGTGACGACAACAATAACAAAAATCAGGGGAAGCAGCGGACAGAAATCCAATTTCAGCAAGTAGCACGACATAAATTTGTTTTCTCCACACACACACACACCGACACACACATTTCGGAATGGGGATGGGGTTGTCCTGGCTGCTGGCCATGTCCTGCAAATGAATTCTGTTAATGCAGACATTACTCGAGCATATTAAAAGTCCGAATGTCCATTCCGCACAGAATTTTATAGCAGGCGACCGCAAAGCCCCAAGCCCCAAAACCCCCTCCCCCCGTCTACAAATAGGCACATTTGTTCCACCCCAAAAGACACCCCAGTAGTCCAGTAGCCCAAAGGCCCACCCTCCTAGGAAACCCCAGGATCAGGACTGCAGCCAATGTAGTTAGTCGGCCAGCCATATACGCATATTTGTTTACCTTGCCACGACACAATTGCGGTAGACGACAGCTTATCCCCCTCCCCCCACAGAAAAAATCGGCAGGCAAATTTCCGGTTCAGCCCCTGCCGGACATTTAGTTTATTTGATGTTGCCAAATGAAAATTGTGACATAAAAGGGACTAAGAACATAATTAACTAGTGTCCAAATGTGCAAATCCAAACGCATAAAAAGTGAGCAAACAGCACACAGGAAAATTCGGGGAAAAAAAAGGAAAAACCGGAGAAAAACTAGAGCAAATGCAACCAAATGCTGGGGTCTGCCCACCGAATGACACTTAAAGGATTTGCCTCGGCGAACCTTGAATGTGCTCGGCGTTATGGGAATGCCGAATACTAAAGCTGATGCCCCGGATCCTGCAGATCCTGTACTCCGGACTCCTGGGCCGCCCATTTCGGCCATCAGAGCGAACATTATTTGCCGTCCCCGGGTCCGCTTTTACCAGCCACGTGTCGGCCACAAAGGGTCATGATTAGTTTGCTTAATAAAGAACTGGCAACAGCGCCGATAAATATGAAAAAAGGACAACACACTGTAAAGAAAAAGAAAATGAAGAAAAAGAATACAAGTGATAATTCATTTTAAATTAAAATACACCATATAATAAAGTTTTAAAAAATATAGTACTAAACAAAATCATGAACAACTTAAAAAATAACATTCTAACATTTTGTATTTTAAATACAAATTATTTTTCTACTTATATTTGCCCGAAAAACTTTAATTTTAATTGCTTACTTAGTCATAAACAACATTTTTTAATATTTTTAATATTAAAAAGAATTTATTTTTAGAACAATTTTTGGCCAATAAAATTTAATAGTTTACTCAGCTATGTAGTAATGTAGAAATGTCTTTCCCAAAATATCTATTGTTATCCGGATCATAAATATATTGTATATTAGGCAGTTTTAAAAATGATTTCATCCCCCATATTGTCATTTCTCATTACTAATCATTTTTCTGATTACTTTTCTCTGTGTACCTACATTTTCCCACACTAAAAAGTGGGCGTGGCTTGTGCGATTTAAGCGCCGCTAAATGGCACTGAAGTTATTTGGTATTTATGAATATGCTGCTCGTAATACTATTTGCAATTTAGAGTTGGGGACTGCCAGGCGGGGATAATATTTTAAATTAATGATTTCGAGTGGCGTTCGAAATTCGGGTGGGCGGACAATTGCCAAAGACGAATGAAGACAAATGATGGTCGAGAGCATTTATTGCATTAGCATCAACTTTCAATCCCTACCCCCCGCGGCCTTCAATTTTCCCGTGGTGCCGGGGACTACGTAGATTTGCTGGCCCAATTTTTTTTGGGGGGAGCAAATTAAATAACCGTCAAACCGTCAAAGAAAATCTGCAAATAAAGCGTTTCGCGATTTACCCCAAGAAATTACAAAATTCGCCAGCCCCCATCTTATTTAGTATATATTTTGTACATTTTTTGTTTCTGTTTTTATGCCGTCGTGTCGCCGCCTTCGTTTCGCCTTATTTGCTCATTTTTGAGTATTTGATTTCATTTCTTTCATTTCCATGGCCTGTGTGTGTTTGCCAGCGATATAGTGTACAGTTTTTAATAAAACAAATTCAGCGGGCGACGGCCTGCGGCGAACATGGCAGGCGAAATTAAATTATTTCGCTTTCCCCCTCCAGCCGGAGATGAAAGTAAGAGAAAGTCGCTGGCTGGACGCAAACATTTTATCATTTGTTGTTGCCGCTGACAGGACTACTATATACCATTGCATACTACCATACTTAATGTGTGTTTGTTTTTTGGGGTGGGGGGTTGGTATGAAAGGCAGTTGACAGGCTGCCTCCCTGAGAAGCCCAAGCAACCGGAGTCCAGACCAGATTGTTTGTTATTTAATGACCAGCAGACATATTAAATATGCTACGTTTGATTTTTGCTAAACATGCCTACATGACAATTTAGCTGGAGATGGGTACACCAAACGCCAACAACAAAAACTGGAGGCTCTATCATCGGGTACCATCACAAAGTCTTCAAATATTTTGATTGTACTATGTTCTTCTTAAATAAAGAACGCTTATCAAACAAACTGTTGTCCGAATCGGAAATAGTGACTTAATAAATGTGGTCGAGTTAAATTATATACTTTTACAAATATAAAATTCACCTTTCCAAAACTTGAATGGGGTTGTATTTAATATATACAAAATATAACAAGGTACTGAACTATTTAACACATGTTCTTTGTGTTCTTATAAATGTTATTGTTAATTAATTAAATATTATCTTTTTTATTTGAATATCATGCAAAAAATGTGCTTTCACAATGACAACATGGACAAAAGGGAAGCAAATTAATTGGAGGAAAGTAAATATAAATAAATTATTTACATTTTAAGCTAGGACTAACGTATGCCATTATTTTTGTTGTTCAAGTTTAATGTTTGCATATAATTCTTTAACACAAATTATCCCATTATTAGGATTTTAATTTATTTTAAATAAAACAATTAAGCTTTTGTAGTTTAGAGTATACAAAAAGTGCCTTTAAAAAGAAATTTCGTGAAAAATAAAAAAAATCCTAACCAAAACCTGTTAATTTAGTTTTTGTTTTTTACGTTTTATGTTTGCATTTGACGACTTCAACAAAAACTTCTTGTCTGTTCCATTTCCCCCCAAGTGGCACCTGCGTACTGTATGTTGTGCCACACTTCCGCTTCCTGGTGCATTTCTTCGGCCTAATGGACGTTGATGGATGACGCGTCCAGCGACAGGTGAAAGTATATGCTGTAATGCATATTTATGAGGCCAGCAGCTGGCCTGCGGAGACCGCAGCGGATCGGATTGGATTTGGATCGGGCTGTTCCATTCTGGTCGCATAATTAGCAGCGCGCCGAGGTATGCAATGCAATTTATACGACATACGTCACACGACGAGACCCCAGTTCCGGGGGCAATCGGCGATCTAATGCCATGCAATTTTCTGCAGTCGCCGCTGCAGTTGCAGTTTGCAGTTGTAGGCCTGCTTTGACAGAGGCCGTTTGCCATTTCGGTATGCAGAGCGGGCCAGCAGGCAAACCGGGTCATAAATTAGGCCCCGCATCACTCAGGCTGCGGAGGCCTTGGGATGGAGATGAAACGGGATGGGATGGGTCTTGGCTATATGGGTGGAGATGGAGGTGGAGATGAAACTGCAGCCGGAGCCAAACACAAAAGCATGCCAAAGGCATCAATCGACCAGAGTGCAGTGCAGTAGATACTCGCAGCTTGCAGCTCGTACCTGCCACCCATACACAAAAAAAAATCTCAAAAAACGGTTAACCACCATTTAATATCTTCTATTCATCTGTGGTTATTGAAATTATTGTTAATTTAATATATAAAGAGAATTTTAATATAATTTTATTTTATAACTTTTTTATTATTTTTATTTGATATTTTAAGTTTGAGAATTTGATATTTTAAAAACATTCATAATTAATTTGAGGGCTTTCTCTAAATTTACAATAATTTAGCTTGTTAAGCTTAAATTAAATAACATTAGAAATTGGATTTAAGTAAAGTTTCTTACTTGACTTATTCTTACAAATAATAAATATATTTAAGAAGACAATAGTTTTTAAATATCACCGGACTTATTATACCATAAGCTTTAAAATAATTTTTTTTTTAAATTTGCTTAATATTGTTTAAAACCAATATGGAAATTCTTTTTCCTCAAAGTGTACTATCAGCCGTTTCCGGAAAGACACGCAACATTGCATATTGCGCCCAATGCCAAATGTTGCCGTCGAGGCAGATTCAAAGCCGTATCGGGAGCCATAGCTACAGCTATAGCCCAAGACTGCGTTCGAGCGCACGACTCGTGCTATTGCTCATAATTTCCAGTTCGCATATGCCAGCCTACGGCAGTCTATGCAAACAAACAAAGACAGAGGAGCGTTTTTTGGGAGGCAGCGTCTCAGCCTCATTTTGCATATCCTGTCATGGACAGTGCTAAAATGTCCTCCCCAACCCCCATTCCCCTTCTATTATAGAATGCCCTCTGCTGTTTTATACGATCATAAAACTTTCAAATGCCGTTTTTACACTCGAATGAAAATCAATAAAAAATTTCTGAAGAAATTTCAATTTATAGAAATTAGTTAGTTTATCATTTTATTTCCTAATGAAAAAAATACTATTTAGCGTTAAAAAAGAAAAATTTATTGAGTATATACTTACTAAATAAATACAGAATTCAGCCAGA